GTAGGGTGGGAAGAAGATGAATGACATCTTTGAAGTACAGGTAGTCCTCGAGTTACGAATGTAATGGAGCCTGCCCATTCCATTCGTAAGTCGAGAATTTGTGGGAGTAAATCTCATACCTTGAACGAGATCACTCCTTGCTTTTGCCCACGCTAATCGAATGTGTGGGTGAATGCGCAATTTGTTAATTGCACATGAGGTATTTCAGGGTGGGAAAGGCCAGGGGGGGCCTCCCCAACCCACTAAGATACCTCATGCTTCCTCCTCCCTACCTGCCGCAACAGACTCACCTTGCAGAAATCCTCTCTGCCGCTTTGAGGGAGAGGAGAGTCGATGGAAACTCCTGAGTGCCATAATATCGCGTGAGTTCAGGCACCTATTCTCTTTTGCAGATCACGGTCTCCAGAAACTTTGATTTTGGAGCTGGAAGCTCTATCTTGGCTGCAAATGGAGTGCTTTGAAAAAGAAGGAAATGGAGTTCAAGCACTCATTCTCTGCAAAAGAGAAAGGGGGGCCTGAACTCGTGCAATATTACAGCACCCAGGTGTTTCCATTGACTCTCCTTTCCTTTAAAGCAGCAGAGAGGAGAAACTTTTGGCAGAGGGGATTTTTGCAAGGTAAATGAGTCCGGTGCGGCAGGGAGGGGTGAGCAATTGTGGGGAACGGGGGGGGGTATAGAGTGAATGTTGCAGAGCCTCTGCAGTCATTCGTAAGGGCGAACAACTGCTGTGGTGCTGCAACATTCGTAATTTTGAGAGTTGCTCGTAAACACCAGGGGCCGCTTATTGCATAATTGAATGAGTACTAAGTGAACGTTCGTAACTCGGGGATTACCTGTACAGCACTATGTATTACATGTTAAAAATGTAAAATCATTGTAGGATCAGACTAAAGAACCTGTTAATTCCATATACTAATTCTCATTTTTGTGAACGAGTTGCTAAATATGAGAAATCCCAAAGCAAGATATGAACATGAGAGCAGTCTCCTGTTTGTATTTCCCAGCAACTGGCATATTTTCTATGACATGAAAAAATATTAAGCAATAAATAAAAAATATATACAAATGACTAATAGTCAGTACTTCGATGTTGCAGTTAGAAAACTGCCACTAATTATCTTCTAACTGCTGGTCTGGAATAAATCTTTTCAGGTACTGTAGTCACTACAGAAATGCATTTGTTCACAATAGAGATGAAGGCATCTGATACTTAGTTATTATGTCAATTCAAATGGGTTTGCATTGATTGTGATCAGTTTAATAACTCATTACATGGACAAAAGTGTTCAGCTGCCCATTCCTGTCCCCCATCCTCATATTACATATTAATTAATTGCAAGCAGTTGTTTCCGATAACGAAATGAGTGTCAGTGTGGAAAAACTGTGCTTTTGGAAGAAACCGTGGCATGAAAGATACTTATTTAACAACTGAAATGTCAACATGAGCTCTGATCTGTCTTATTAGTCAGATATCTTTGGCAGTTTTGTTTTGTTTCCTTAAAATCAAATGGGCTGTTAGATTAGCTAGTCTTCAAATTGTATTCTGGAAAAACCTGATGTTCCTTGGAATATTTTTACAGGGCCTGCAAAAGAGATCAAAAAGTTGATACTGAGAGATGGCAAGCTCTCCCAAATTGAACTATCTGCCTCTAAGTATAAATATTTTCTCCCCTGCAGTAAATAGAATCTTCTTTTGTTAGTCAAAAACTTATATGTACTTGATAAACTGAGTAAATTTATTTTATTTTTATTATGCATTTTATTGGAGCAAACAAGCAATGCAATGTTACAGCAATGCTATTCAGGTGATCAATTTTAATTATTTGCTGCCATGTGGTCTGTAAAACCTTCCATCATTCATTTAAGCAGGACACGGGACTGTGGAAGTGCATATGGTAAAATATTACACAGCATGTGGATTAATTTGGGAAGATGGTATATATTCTATAGACTACTGCATTCTGTTCTATGGGAGGTTTGTGTCTGCTCCTCATTTCCATGTCTTTCTGAAAATTGTTCAACATTGGTTTCCAAATATTAATATCTTGTTTTCTTTGCAATGGAAAACCAATCCTTAAAAGTAGGGCTGTTTGAAATATTCAGACAACAGAATGGTTGAAAATTATTGTGTAATCAAGTACATTTGAATTACACTTCTTTATTTTAAGTTCTGATTTTGAATATTTATGGCTGTCAGTAAACAAGATGAAACTAAACACTCAGCCTTTGAAGGCTGAAACTTGGTTAAGACATAAAAGAAAAAAAAGGTACCTTTGCCACCTAAATGATTTCTGAGAGTTACCATTTATTATAGTTCAAGGAAGAACTTCACAAGTTTTAGCATGATTGAGAGTAGAGATAAAACAATGCCAATTTTACCTCAGCAAGGCTTCCATTTTTCTTTTTGAAATGCTTAATCCAGTTATTTTTTGAAAAAAAACAATGCCTCTTCATCCTGCAACAAATAAGAAAAGACTTGTGAAGGAGGGGAATAAATAATATGTGAGAAGGTAAAAGGTGGCTAGGTTTTTTTAAAAAAATCTTGCTATTACCAGAAACTGGAGAAGAACAACAACAAAAATACAGAAGATGCAGTTTCTGTTTGTTCTTCACTGAGCTCATTATGAAACATTTTCTATATGGTTTTGTTTTGGTTTTTCTGTTCTGTAGCTAACTGTAAATAATGTGTCCCACCCTCCCTCCCTCTGTTATTGTTTTCTGACCATATTACAATAATGATTAAGTAACTGATACAATTAATATATGTGTTTGACTAGCTGCTAAATGTAACAATGTGTTGAATTTTAATATTTGATTCCTGGTGAACTAGACCAGGCTTAGTCTTTTAATGTATATCCATACTATCAGTGCATGAGATACCTCCCTATATTGCATGCATTAAGTTATTTATTGTCTTTCTGTAAAGTCACTGGGCTACCTAGTTAGTGCATTATATGGCATTGTTGTGCTCAAGTTAAAAACAGGTTGGAATCGGGGCCTGTGGCAGCAAACACTGGCCTACAATGTATTGAATTCAACTTAGAGGGTATCAGGTATTTTTCTCGACATGCTAAGAACATGGATGTTCATTAAAAATGTATGAAAAATCTGTAGCTATTTCAGCCCTCCTTGCAGGAAAATGGTTACTAATCATTGTGATCGTGCAGTGCCAAATATAGCTTCAATAAGTGTCTAGATAGAAGATTTTCATGTACCAGCATATTTCAGAATATATAACTACAGCTATCACAACATTAACTCTTACAACTATTCAGTTATTAGAATTGCATCTAATAAGTCAACTCTTGGAGTCTCTGGTTGAAACTACGCCTTGTAAGGTTTTACTCAGTGTTGGCTGATCTGAAGTTTAGCCTTAAGAAATAGTTGTTTGAGAGAGAATCCAATTAGGTAGTCTGCCTTACAAAAAGGTTGTTGATTACCCAGAGAAACAATAATGCATGCAGACAAAATGTTTGCCCTCAATTTATATTTTAGAAATTCTACTAGACAGTAATGTGTTTGCCATAATAGGAATAATCAAATATAGTATAATGGAACATAGAAGGGCATCATTTATTTCTTTTGAGATAGCCTGCTCCACTGATTTAAACGTTTAGACAAGAAATCTAATTAAAAATCATACCTGCACCTGGCTGGAGTGACAGAATGCTAAGGAAGAAGCTGGGCAACATATCACTGTAAACTTGAGGGCAGAGCAGAAATAATAGACCAGATTTTTCTGACATCTGTTTGATACACTTATGAAATCAGCTATGATCAAGGAATATAGACAATTTCATTTGCTGTCTGAAATATTGTTCTATCTAAGGAGAAATTGCTTGTGGCTGGAAGAATGATAAACAGTAGATTTAAAAGAAATGAAATGCAGAAGATGCAGACAATATAGAATAAGAAATCAAATATCTATGTTATTACAGCTTAAACATTTATATACACACATACTTAATTTAATGATCACTCTTAACAGGTATAAGATTGCTTCATGAAAGATAATTCTGTCTAGGGCAGTTAATCATGTAAACCTGAATTCTACTATTGCGAGAAAGTCTATTCTTTTTTTTACTATCTTTATTTATTTAATAGGGCAGAAAAAAGGAAATTGGATACAATGAAAACCATATGATTCAAGCATCTACAATATTAAACAGCTTTTATGCACAGTTGAATCAATGGTGTAAAACAATCGACTTCAGTGACTTTCAGTATGTCTAACTGGACATAACAATATGTTGACCAATATTACAATGATTATTTATTTACCTTCCTAAAACCATGTGGAATTTCTTCCAGATCAATATTAGGTTTCTTCTTTTTAATTTGTTACTTTGGAATGTCTGCCACATAGTCTTAAATATACTACTAGCATTCTCATTCATGAATTATCAATCAATCTGACACCTGAAAAATCAAAGTCTGATTACTGTCTGGAATTGAAAGTCTGAATTGAAAAAGGTGGGGAATTTTCTTACTTCACTATGTCCAGCCCAGATGAATTCCCCAATAAATACCCTCAGAAGATTAAAATGAATAATATGAATAATGTATATTGCATTATACAAATGGAAACAAGATTTTTAATAAACTCTTTAAGAAAAAAATATCCTGCCTTTATTATTTTTATAAATAACTCAAGCTGGTTATCTAATACTCCTTTCTCCTCCTATTTTCCCCACAATAACAACCACGTGAGGTGATTTGGACTGAGAGAAAGTAACTGGCCCAGCCAGCTTTCATGCTTAAAGTGGAACTAGAAGTCATAGTCTCCTGGTTGCTAGCCAGTGCCTTAATCACTAAACCACTGAATCTTAATAAATGTCTTTCAGGTACTAATTGTAATGCTTTCTGTGTTATATATCTTAAGAAAGGATGATACAGTATGACTTTATAACTATTTTCTCTCAAAGATTAACAGGTTATTAAATACTGGCTTTTAAGCAAACAAATAAACTTTCTTTAATTTTTCCTCTTCATTTTTAAGAAATACAAGCCTGGGCGATGTGATGACATTTTGAAATGGAAGCCACCCAGTCTAAATTCAGTGGATTTTCGTCTAAAATTAGCAAGAGTTGTTGGAGAAGGGTATGTATGTCTTGCATGAAGAACTTATTACCAGAAATGAGCTGCTGGTAGAAAGAAAAAAGCTACAGGCAAAAATGATTAGCATAAGACGAGATTTATCAGACAAGGTAATTATTCTGGGTTCAGACGCCCAGACCTAACACATGAACAATAGATGACGACAATTGCTTGAGAAGGAAGCCCAAGAGAAACAAAAAGGCTGAGCAGAAAGTAACTCTGGGGAAGAAATTCACATGGTATCTTAATTTTCCCTTTTTTTCATATATGTACAATTGTTTAAAACATCCTGTTGCTTAGTAGGAAGCAGATGGATCAAATACTATAAAGCCCATAGAAACTCCAATGTAAAGAGATGGAAAGTATTTAACTCAATTCCAGATACTGAGGTAAAGTAATCAAGTAAATTTTCATCAGGTGCCCAGATTATGATCTTGGGGCCATGTTGTGACAGCCAGAACTTGGAGGGCTGGTTGTGAGTCTACCTTGTGCAGCAACATTGTAACTTTGAATGGTGGCTGAATGAATGGTCATAAGTTGAAGATTACCTGCGTTCTCAAACTTCTTAAAAACACCTAAAATGCAGTATTGATAAATCATAATTCAACAAGCTCCCTTGCAGTGCTTGAATATAAGTCTGTGAACAATTATTTGTTCCGTTTTCTTTTAGTTTTGGATGTTTTTCTGTCGGACTTGTAGATCTGTTGAAGTAGTCCACCAGATGTTGCTTAGAAATATACCATTCAGTCACTAAATTGCATCTAGTATTGGTTTGATTCCCCTACCACTTTTCAAATACGCTCTGGAAAATCCCATTGTATGAGCAGGTGTATAATTTTTATTACATATATTTCCTTTGATCATGGCCAATCTTGCTATTGAAAAATTGAAGGTTGAATTTGCAAATTTAAATCATTTTGATGCTACTACTCTTGTTGGGTTTTAGCTAGCATCATTGTGTTCTAAAGTATGAACTTGGAATCAATCAAACTGATACAAATGACTTTGGCTCAGACTTTCACATTTAGAGTAGTGGTTTCAACAATTTTGAAACTGATATCTCATCAAAGAGAGATACGCTTGAAAAGTAGTGCAGATCATTGCCACCTTAGATATAAATTCATATATTGTCTTATAGGTGTATTTTTTTCCTTAGCTTAGGGCTTCAAATGGGACAGTTTGCATTGGAAAACTAACAAAAAATTGTAGGTTTCAGCAGTTTCCCATTATTTATGTTTTAACAATACTATTCAGATTCTTCCTGCTTGCTATGAAAAGTATGAAAGGCTATTGGAAGGTATTCAGTATTTTTAATAGTTGTACTATTCCTGTGTTATAAATGACACATTGTTGAGGAAACATTGTTACCTTATAGAATCATCTTTATATATGATATATAAAGAGAGAAGCAGCATTTATGCTAAGGAGATTGTAGCTTAAAGATAAGCATTAAGAAGCACATCAGAGGAAGCGGAGTGAATCTACTGAAAACAAAAGGAGCCCCCATGGAACAATGTCTTTCTAACATTGCAAAAGTTTTTTGGAAGAGGAAGTTGAGAACTCCTCATTCAGAATAAGTTTTTTGTATAATGGTTTTAAAATGGAACCATGTCAGAATGTACCGGAAAAGGTACAGAGAAACCTGTACCTTTTGATAACAGGAAAGTCAAAGGATGGGAAAATGTCAGGAATTTTCTAGACAGGCAGGCACACACATATATGTACACATTGTACTCTAAATTACAATTATGTAATAATATGTTACACTGCTTTTCAAGTAAATAAATGGTGCTTATTCTCTCTAACCCCTCTCACCCTGCCTCCTCCCTTTGCTTAATAAATTGTACAAACATTTTCATACAGACATTTCTTTACAGAGCATTTTAGTAACTTAACTGTCTTATTTCTTCCTCTTTGATTCATGTGCTTCTTAGCACAACCTTGATACGCTTACTCTGTTATACAGCCAAATTATTTTCACTTCTTGGACTTGCTTTAAAAAGAGAATGGGAAAAGAGAAGACAACTCTTTTCTGAATTTCTTAGAATTCCAGGACCTTTGTCAAAGTCCTGATCTGTCCTTGCAAACACTGCTGTCCTTTTCTCCAGCCAGATTGTCCTGCCAATTGCTTTTTCTGATTCTTTTGCTCTTGCTAGTCCTCAACTGCAGATTTCCTCCTCTGACTCACACAGCACAAACACAACCTCCTCCATTACCTAACAGTTCTGTCAATTTTATATATTTCCCCCCAAAGGCAGACATCCCTTCCGTCAGTTGTATTAATTAGGCAGGAAGCTTCTAGCATCTGTGTGACACTTTGCATGGATCTGGCAAATAGGCAAAGACATAACCTTGAGACTAATTTACAACTCTGACCCAAGTAGGACATCTCATCCTGCCTCAAGACAATCTGCTCTTCTGTTAACTGAACATTATTACATTATACATTATGCTTGATACTGCTTTGCAGTTGATAGTACTGTATTGCCAATTAATGAAAGAAACCCAGTAGAGGCCTGGAATTTATATATTTTGGCTGAAGAATATCCGTTATAGAATATGTAGATCAAATTACATTCGAAGACAATTATTTCTGTTGGCAGGTATTGACTTCAATCACAAATCTTACAAATAATGTTGGATCCCCAAAATTTTAGAAAAGACAGATTGCCCCAATTCATTAAAAACATACAAAAATCTTAATTAGTGGCTTAGTCTTGAAAGTAGGTCAAATAAGAAAAATAATAACTAGTCAGAAAAAGATTCTGATACTTAATCTATGAAAATGTCATTTTTAAAATTAGAGCTACAGTATATTAAAAGATAAAATATGCTACTTATGGCAGTCTACTCATCCATGGAAAAGTAGTCAATACAATAAATACTTGATTTAATAGATTAATAGGGGATATGGGGTTGGGTAGGCTGTTAAATCTGAACCACAGATTATATAGAGTTCATTAATGCAGCTTATATTAACTACACATTTTGATAACTATTTTTATTCATACATCCATTATGTCAAGTTCCAGTTTAGGACTTCATTCTGCTTCTGATGTTCTGCTCTTTATTAACACCAGTCCAGACCTTAATGTGGTATTATATGATACGTTATTCCTTATTTGCAATTAATGACCCTGGTATACCTAGTTCTAATGGATTACTATTATACTATTATATGGAATATCCATATAATGGTTATCATACTGCCTTACATTTTTCTTGTTCTTCTATCTGCCTTCCCCCTCCTTTTAAAAAAGAAAAAGAAAAAAAAGGCACAAATTGCTATAGTGCTGGGTTCCCCCCCTTTGTTTTAAAAATGAAGTTTTGATGTGTATTACGATTTACCAGAAGATGAAACTATCACAGCTGAGTAATTGTTGCAGTGGCAAATATAACATTTCATGACAATGATAAATATTGGCTGTTATCAACAGATTTCAACTGACTTAGTTTGATCAGAACTTTACAATATTTCATTATAAAGCTTACTAGTATTACAAAATTGTATTACCACAAATAAATCAGCAAGTGGATTTCACTAGAAAAGCTATTGGACACCAATAGCTTGATTAAATTGAATTTAAAACATGGCTGTTTTCAAGACAGGACAATGAAACTCTTGTGCCATTTGGGACACTTCCCCATTCTATTGAATCTTTGAGATCAATAAATAAATGACTAAGTTGAATATTAAACGAAGAGCATCTTTGCCTCCTCTTCCCTTTTCTAACAAAGAAATGGGTTATTGTTCATTGCTTTTGTCTTCCTTAATCTATGAATTCTCTGTTTTGTTTTTCACATTACCTCCCATTGTTCTCCATTGTCTAGAGTGTTTCTTTAATTAGAAGCTTCTATTCTGTTATCCCCCCTAATACTTAGCTTTGAAATAGTTTTTGACATTATATGTAATTATGTATTGTAGTTCCTCCATAATAATACTTTCCTCTCGGCTGTAACATATAAATAAAACCCAGATTCTGTATTGATTGCTGTGATTTTGCATTTATCCCAAAGTTATTGTTACCTGTAGTATTAAGAATTATTTTCCTGACTAAAAAGAGATAGTTTTTGGTTTGTTTTTAAAATATACTTTCTCTATTAGACCAATAGATATAATATGAAGAAATTTAATTTATATAGAAATGGACAAATATACTTTTACATGCTTTTAAACTGTGAAAAAGCTATGATTCATTATATTTATTGAATTGGAATGCATTACAATCATTAAAATAAATGATTTATAATCCTCCTGTTTGCTGATCAAATGCATAAAGAGGGAGCAAAGTAAAATTCATATTGCTATCTCAGTTACTACATTGGAAGTAAAACTTATAATAGAAAAATATTTCCAGTCTTTCAGTGCAAATTATATTTTTATGATGAGACCTGAAGATACAAGATAATTGCTTTCTACTGCACTACATTTTTAAACAAGAATTCTTTTAAGTTATATAAATGTCCTTAAATTAGGCTAGATCAGTATGAGACCAATTTGTTTCCATGCATACATATTAAGAAGTTCAAATACTTCATAGAATAGTGGAAGAAAGCATCATGATAAATTTGCTAATATCATCTCTATTTAGGCAAATATTTGTTAATTGTAGATGTCCTAATTTTAAACTTTACTCAAAAAGGAAAAAAATCAGTTTTACATCCCCATTAACCAAGAATTAAAAGTAACCTATTTAACATGAGAAAGGGAGGACATTTGTAAAAATTCTTACGGGCAGTTCCTTGGAAAATAAGGTAGATTTGATTTAAAATGTTAGTAGGGAAGATTCAAATTGAATGATTTAAATCATGATTTTAGTTACTGTTCTGGAAGATCCTATAACCATTTCTATTAAATGTGCATTTGTTTGATGATCCCTTTGACAGTGAGATATAAATTTCATTTCTAGAAGGTACATTTAGCATATAGAGTAATATTGATTATTTTTAGATTAATTGCCATTAAAATTGAATTATATTTTAGTACTCACGTTCCTTTCAGGGCTTTATAGCTGGAGCAGCAGTTCTCATAATGATGCTTCATTTAGGCAAACAGATTTTACATTTTCTTGCACTATTTGCATTTTGCATGCTTGCTTCTCTTATTCTCAAGTACAAGTGGTTGGATTTCATCAAAATATTCCCTGTTTTACATAGTAGGATTGTTTTATGCACTTCAGGACCAGAAATATATTTTTCAAACCCTCATTTGACAAAATGTCTCTACTTTATTTTTGTAGTTTTAGAGAGTGTTTTACTATAATCTATCCATTTATGTCGCACCTCTTATATTAGCAGTAGCAAGTAGAAGAGAGTATAATTTACTCATCTTTGGGGTAGGTTTATTTCATTAATGAAACACATATTTCAAAACTTTGATTTAAATACATTTTTGTCTTTTTGCTTTAAATTGTTTGTTTTATGTGTCCTGTTGGGACATATTTTTAGTTGCTTTAGAAAACTAGTCAAGGTCTGTTTAAATATAAGTCTATTTAAAAATAAGCTGAAGGCTCTTTTTTGTTTTTGTGAAAAGCATTTGTGAAGTGATATAGAATGCTTTTTATGTTTTTTCTATGCTGTTTTTTCAGTGTGGGTAAAGATGATGTCATAAACTTGTTTATGATCTATTGGCCAAAAAAGGCAAAGTAAAAGTTGGAAAAAGTAACAAATTGAAAATCTTCCATATGCTGCATTGCTTTTTGGCAAGTTTTAATAATGTTGAGTTTTGACTGTCTTATCTAATAATCAAAAATAATAAATCTACAATTTAATTTTCACAGGCAAATAGAGATAAGTTAAAATAATAGAGAATATAGACTGATGCATAGACTGTGAGTAAAACCCATAATTTATTTTTGAGTAAAAGTGCAGAGGGTTAGATTGAAGGCTAGATTCTCCCTACAACAATTAATTCTTTTTTATGCCTTGACTTCTTTAATTTACAGCATCTGATGGCTAAGGATAGGTATGCTACATTTGATAGATGTTAACTAGATTGATATTAACTAAATTTGGACTTCTAATCTGTAAATCTTAAAGCAATATATTATACTTTAATGATGTGCTCTAGCTGTCATTCTTTTGACTACACAGATAGCCCTTGACTTACAACCATTCATTCAGTGACCATTCAGAGTTATGATGGCACTAAACAAATGGCGGTATTGATTGGTCTTCAGAGTTTTGGCCATCCCAGTAATTCTGCAATCCTGTGGGCACTTGGAAAATGGCTTGCACTTACTGGTTGCAGTGCCCCTTGATAACATGATTGCCATTTACAAACTTCCCTGCTGGCTTCCACAGAAAGTCAGTGTGGAAGCTGGCAGGGAAGATCAAAGGTCACTAGGGTAAGTCTCCCCCACTTGTGTACCCTTCCCTAGCCCTCCTGCATTTGTGCTGCATCAGCCGTTTTCACCTTTTCCCCAAGCCTTGCTGTGTCTCCCTCACATCCTCCTCTAACTTTGCTGACCCTCCCTTGCACCTCATGCCATCCCCCACCTGGCAATTTACTTGCTTACTTACCTGCCTGCTAGCCTGCTTACAAGCCACCTGAGACTTTCAACTTCCCTACTGACTTGGTTGTTGCCTTGGAAATTGCATAGCTTAACATGGGATTCGATTAATATTTAGTGACAGAAATTCTGATCCCAGTTGCCATCATAAATTGAGGACTACCTGTAGCTATTGTTCCTGTTCATATGACCAATATTAAATGTTGTTTCAATGTTTACATGCTATGTAGCATCAGCAGGCATTTGGTCATGTGCCTAATGCACAGTAAAGTCTGTTGATCAATGGAAGTCCTTTAGGCAAGCTAACTTGTATAGTTTTTCATCTTTGCAAATATCCTAAAATCATTTAACTTTAACATTTGAGCTAATAGATGATTAATGTTTGCATCATGTATTTTGTGCATGTATGTATATATTATACGTGTGTGTGTGTGTGTGTGTATGTGTATATCTTGTGAAAGTGACATATTTAATGCTTGTCTTTGCTAAAATTTGTAAAAATTTGGTCAACTTTGTATTTAATGTTTACTACAAGAATAATGTGTCTGCTTTGATGAAATTGAATTGAACATCTCCACTGGCATTTGTTATTGAGGTTTTTGTTTTCTAGTCTATCCTGTTTTTCATTCCCTTATGTAAGAATAATGTTCCAAAATAACAAATGAACACTGGATAAAATGGACTGGAGCCCAGGGATACAGAAATAACATCCTGTAGCTAATTAGATTAATAACATGCTATCATTTTATATGAGCTGATGGTTGTATATCAACACTGCAATTCTTCAAGATAGCAGTTTAATTTGTTCAAAAGATAAGGATAGAAGTAGATTTTCCATTTATACACACAAAGGACAGCATTACAGGTGAAAAAGCTACATTTATCATTTCAATTTTACATCCACTATCAAATAGTTTTTCTTTCCTCATTTTAACATCTTCCTGCTCAGAAGGTAAGAGATCAGGATAAGAAAAAAGCAACTACAATATTAATCAGATAACTGAAGTATTGCTTAAAGGGAACAAGAGAAAATATACTTTTAAAATAGTCAGATTATGCCACTATTTAATAATAGTGATTGTTTAATAGTGCAGCGCTTCTAGAAATACATTGTTGTCATTCTTCATAGACAGATTATAACAATCTGAAAAACAATTGCTTTAGTCTTTCAAACGTTTGAGAGAATTAAAACAAATTATCTGATTTGTGAATTAAAATCAGTATAAGAATTAAAAACTGCCAGACCAAGAAACATGAAAATATACTGTGAAGGAACTGTGAATTATTCTCATATTTCCTGTACATGTTTTGCTGAGGACAAAAGTTTCTTACATGGGGATGAAATGGAAGGGGGAATTGAGACTTCACCAAAATGGAGAAGATTCTAACAATGACTGTTAGATGAAATAATAATCTCCCTAAGGAATGAGAGAAGATCAATTATTTGAATAATTTATAAATAGGATGGACAAAGTATTCAACACGCTACAATGAAACTGTCAGGTGACAGTAAAGGCATGTGGTGCTATTTATTAAGCTGTTCTTTTAAAAAAAAATTTCCAAGGTTAAAATACATAATTAAGAAAATTACAATACAAAACAAAAGAGCTGTCCTTTTACATTTTTATTACTCTTAATAATACTTATATAGAAGAAAGAATATGACCCTTTAACTCTGACTTAAGTATTAGCCAGCTTACACAGAGTTCTGTGAAAATATATTTACTCCTTTATGGATTTTCTGAATGTTTGCATATCTTTCCCTTAAATGTTATCAATGAAACTTAATCTGAGTCCTAATGGTACATTAAGGAAATATGAAATGAAAGCAAAGAATACTAGAGTTGGTGCTTGTTCCATTTATATCATAATCAAAGTTATCCAAAATTTAATGTTCTAGTGTGAAAAATAAGGACCCTTCCATCCAGTAGATTCAGTTATCACTACAGCCAGTTTATATTTCAGACAATGAGAACTGATTTGGAACAGCTTAGTCCTATACACAAATATTTGCTTCTCATCAAAGCAATGTCCTTCCTACATTGAAGTTAAGGGGATGACATATTCTGATGTAAGCCTCGATAGATCAAAAGGATGGCTTTCTGAATATTAATTATAATTCATGTAGATTTTCCCTGTTAATAGCGATAGCACTTAGATTTATATATCGCTCCATAGTGATTTACAGCACTCTTCAAATGGTTTACAAATGCCAGCCTATTGCCCCCAACAATCTGGGTCCTCATTTTACCGATCTCAGAAGGAGGGAAGGCAGAGTCAACCTTCAGCCGGTCAGGAACGAACTCCTGGCAGTGGGCAGAGTTAACTTGCAATACAGCATTCTAACCACTGCACCATCACAGCTCCATTAATGTATATGCCTTCATTTAAATAAGCAGCAACTTTCCTAGCAAGTTGTGATAATGATTTCATATTTATCATCCTAAAATGTTAGCACCTTGCATTGTTGATGATCATCCCCAGAATCCTTAACTAAAAGAAAACCATAATTATAATTGAAAGATAACCCTTACATTTATTTTTCCAATTATATTTTAGCATTGTGTTTTGCATTGATAAGTAAAAAAAAGTTTTGTAATTGTTCCTTAACAAAAATATGCCTTTCAGTAAATATGGCTCATGAAGTTGCAATTGATCTTGAAATTTTGAAAATTACAGTCCGGACTGCCAATTTGCTACTTTTCCATATTTACATTTTGATTAATTTCAGCTAATAATCTTGAATTTATGACTTTTGGTGCTCAATTTCTTTCTGGATTGCATGGGAGAAATTTTTTGAGAAAACCTACTTTAGTACCTGTTTAAAACAATATTTAAAACAACCAGAACAAGAGAAATCTAATTAAAATGATAATTTCTATAATCTAAAGATACCTATCGAATAGCAATAGCAACAATTATCAATAGCAATAGCAACAACTATTATTTTTGTTTTCTTATACTAAATAAACGCTGTTGCTTTTTTCATGGATGACTTTTTTTTGCATATGATAATCTGATAAAAATGAATTTAAGTTATTTATTCTAAAACCTAGATATTCTAACTAGTAGCAGGAATAGGATGGGGATACCATTTTAGCCACAACAAGGATATAGATAGATTAAACCAGGGTGGGCAATTAATTTTTCCAAGGAGCCATATGAGAAAATTGGGACTGTTGTGGAGGGCCAACCAGTAGGGCTATGAAGGTGCATAGGCATGCACACACTGACACCATTGAGGAAAAAAAAAATAGCAGTTGCCTTCAAAATAAAAGCCATCTACACAGGTTAGATTACTTTACATGTACTTATCAAAACATGTATGATGGCGTTAAGACAGCTTTTAATTAGACATTTTCTTTTTTTTTTTTTTAGGCTTCTCCCAAGGAACGTCGGACTGCTTTATGTTGGAAGTTTAGATAGACCTTTTGCAGAAATTAAGGTAATAGCAATTAACTTTGTAAGTTTTTGCCTAGGTAAAGTTATGCTGCTTTATTAGTTTGTGTGTGTATGTTGTAGCATTCACATGTTCAATGTTTGCAACTTTCTGAGAAATAAGCAGCTTATTTTAAAACATTTTGATGAAATATTTATACTTTAAAATGGCTAGCTCTTTACTTTCTTAAGTCCATTCTTTTCCAGACATTTGGTAGGATTAGTGTATTCAAATTTGAGATACTCATCTTTTTTCACGAGGATTAAATAATTCCAGGTTAATCTCTCTAGGAGCCCTGGTGGCGCAGTGGTTAAATGCAATATTACAGGCTAACTCCGCCAACAGTCTGGAGTTTGATCCTGATTGGGCTCAAGGTTGATTCCGCCGTCTGTCCTTCCAGGGTCAGTAAAATGAGGATCCAGATTGTTGGGGGCAATATGCAAATAATGCTTCAACATTGTAAACCACCCAGGGAGTGCTGTAAAGCACTACAGGGCGGTATATAAGCCTAAACGCTATTGCTATTGCTGTAATTATTGTAGAGAGAATAATAATACTCTCACAAACAGAAGACAATAGCTGTTTCCACTGTTGCTTCCTAGCATCTTATATTTAAGATTTGCTGCCAACAATTCTAGATGTAATAAAGAGCTATCAAGGTAAATACCATTAATAGCCTAGTACTCTATTTATTTATCCAGTCCTCTTTCAAAACTGACTAAATTGCTGGTTATCAATTGGTGTGATGGCAGCAAATCCCATAGATAGCTATGCATTGTATAAGCAATGTTTAGGTTTAATGCTTCTGGATATCAATACATTTTATTTTAAGAAATGACTCAATTTTGAGAGGGAGAAAAACCACTCTAAGTTTACAGATAGTCTATGTTTTCCTCTGAGAAAGATTGAAATAACCCCCCCCCCAATTGTTGTAGCTGTTTTGTTTATGTACATACTCTTTTTCAGGAGTGGTGATCAAATCTCTATATACGTGCCCCAGGGAGATGAGCATAACTAATCAGGTGGTTCTTGACACTCTTTTTTTCTCTCTTCTCCACCCAGATTCTCTTAACCATGTTATGAAAATATTTATTTTTTTGTGAAACAATTTCCAATTCTCAAGCGCTTATTTCTTTAATAAAGCAACTAGAAGTGTCTATATTTTAAAGGAAATTTTATATGGAGTGCCAAATCTTATAAGAGAAAATTTTCACACCAAATGAGAACCCTGTTGAAAGGATAGCGGGATAACCTGGCTGTGATTAAGTCAAAGGCAAAATTATATAACATATTAAAATATAACTCTGGCATGATCATTTAATTTATAGGAAAGTGACTGGATGAAATTGTTTTCAGATAATTTCATGTTAAAATAACAAATCTGCAGGATTTAACTGATGATTTCCATAATAACATTTGAATGTGAGATAGTTAATAAAAGACACGTTTCATAGTTGCCAACCTTGGCTACTGAAAACATGCCATAATTAGTCTTTGGAGAGTATGTTTATTCTTTTGGTATACTGCAGCCCAGATGAAAGGATATAAAACTGAGAGCACGTGATTAAATCTATCTCTTCTTATTGTAGAATATTCCTATACAGGCTGTATTATACCATAGGGAAAGCAGAACTGCTATCGTGCCAATCTGGGTCTTTGTTAGGAACAGAAACCAGCTCATGCATACTATTACATATAATTATCATAAAATTATGGGCTAGAAATGGAAGAGTTATGCTGTTGCATTTTAGACAGCATATTCATAATAAGCTGTAATAAAATAAGCATTTTGAATTGGATATAAGAATAGGCCTTACTTGCAATTACAAATGTGTGTTCAATTGAAATACTTTTGAAGCTCAATTTAACAAAGCAAACACATTTTCTGGCAGCTTTAGCATAATTGTTTCCAGGGTTGAAATCTCATTTGATTTAAAAAAAACAACAACAACTTGAATAAAGCTAGCTGCTGGGAAGCAAAGCACATTTGAAGAAAACTATTTCAATTAACTGGTTTTTCAGTTTTATGTGAAATAATAAATAACAGTAAGTGTTAAAGTATTCTTGTTTATTTTATTCATACTTTAGATATGATTTAAATGATTTGTTTATATATCGAAATTGTTATTTTTTAAAATATATTTTATTAGATTTTATATGGGTAGGGAAAAGGTGGGGTCGGTGCGGGTACAGGAAAATCGGGATAAAAGGGACAGGGTGTGGATAACTACAGTAAATAAGTAATTCAGCGAACAAGCTGTCATCTGGGTCTTCATATTAAGTATTATTGTTTATACAATACTAGACATTTATAAGAATAAATCGGTATAGTTACAACTGATATTTGGTAAAACACTAATATTCCTTTAAATAATTAACATAGTTGATAGCATAACAACTATTTCCAATCATCAACCTTAATACTTAATATAATAAAACTCTAAAATCTCTTCTTATTCTAACGTGTTTCAACCCACTGATAAAATTTTCCCCAGGTTTTATAAAAGATTGAATCTTCTTTCTCCTTCATCTCTAATGTTAATCTGTACATTTCTGCACAATCTAGGATTTTCAAAATTATAATCTGGTCTGATAGTAGGTTTTCATTTTTCCAAAATTGGGCAAATACTATTCTTGCAACTGTTAATACATGTAATATTAAATAATCATTTTATTTGCCATAGTTAGGTCTTAATATACCTAACAAGAACAGTTCCAGTTTAAATTCTATCTGGATTTTCATCATCTTTTCTAACCATCTATGAATCTTAGACCAATATTTTTTTGCAATAGAACATGTCCACCAGGCATGATAATAAGTACCCGGTTTTTGCTTACATTTCCAACATGTATCCGATAAGTTTTTAAACATTTTTGCTAAGCGAACTGGTATCATATGCCATCTATAAAACATTTTATATTAGTTTTCTTTGTATGTTACTGCTTTAGTAAGTTTAATATTTTTATCCCACAGTTTTTGTCAGTCTTCTAATTCTATAGAATATCCAAAGTACTTTGCCCATTCTATCATTGTCTCTTTTACTTGTTCTTCTTCCATCTTCCAATTTAATAAGTATTTATAAAGCTTCTTAATCAAATGTTCATCTGTTTTTAAAAGTATTTTATCAAGTGGAGTCAGTTCTTTGTAAAATCCCATTATTTTTATGTCTTTTTCATATCTTGTTTGAATTTGCAAATAGGACCACCATGTTAAGTCAATAGCTTGTTGTTGAAGGGCTTGCCTGTCTTTGAGTTTTCCGTCCTTGTCCAAAATATCTTTATAATTAACAAGTTTATCATAGTTAATTAAAGTCGGGTAAGCAAATGCTTCCATCGTTGAAAGCCACTCAGGAATTTTCATACACATTTTGTGTCTAACTTTCTCCCATTCAGGAAGTAAAACATTTCTTATAGCATGGTTTTGAAAGTACTTATGTATTTTAGCTTTCTCGTACCATAAAAAGGCATGCCAGCCTAGTTGAAGGTCATATCCCTCTAAATAGAGAATTCGCTTATTTCTCAGAGTAATCCATTCTTTAAGCCAAAGCAGAATAGCTGCTTGATAATAAAGTCTCCAATCTGGAAGTCCAAAACCCCCTCTATCTTTCGAGTCTTGTATAAGTTTACATTTAATTCTTGCTTTCTTTATTTGCCATATAAATCTTAATATCATTGCGTTTAAATCGTCAAAAAATTTCTTACCCAGCTTTACAGGAACTGTTTGAAATAAAAAAAATTAGCTTTGGTAAAATGTTCATTTTAACAGTCGCTATTCTTCCTAACAATGATAGTTGGAGATTTCCCCATTTTTCCAGGTCTATTTTTATTTGTTTTATTAGTCTCTCATAGTTATCTTCTTTTAGTAATGAATATTTCGCCGTAAGATAGATACCTAAATATTTAACTTTTTTAACTATTTGAAGATTTGTCTTTTTGGCGAGTTGAGTTTTCTGTTTATCAGTTAAATTTTTTTGTTAACACTTTAGTTTTTTCCCTATTTATTTTCAATCCAGCCATTTCTCCAAATTTCTCAATTTTCTGCAAAAGTTTAGGGGCTGTTTCCAAAGGCTCCTCTAAGATAAAGACCAGATCGTCCGCGAAAGCCTGTAATTTATATTTCTGGTCTTTAATCTCAAGACCTTTAATATGTCTTGCCTGATGTTTCTAGTCAATACCTCCAGAGTAAAAATAAAAACATCCCTGTCTCGTGCCTTTTTAATATCAAAGCTCTCTGTATAATCTCCATTTATAAGTATCCTTGCTCATTGTTTCTTGTAGATCTCTTGGATTGCTTTAATAAAGTTTTTACCAAAGTCCATTTCCTGTAGTTGTTGAAACATAAATTGCCAATTTAAATTATCAAATGCTTTTTGTGCGTCAAGAAATATGAGCGCCATCTGGTTCCCTGGATGATTTTCATAATACTCCAAAATATTTAAAATAATCCTTAAGTTGTTCTTTATCTGTCTTTTAGGAAGAAAGCCATTTTGGTCTGGGTGAATAAATTCTATTAAAAAGCTTTTCATTCTTTCTGCCAAAATTGCAGCAAAGAGTTTATAATCCACATTTAGTAACGATATTAGCCTGTAGTTTTTTAATTTGTGTAGGATCTGTATCTTCTTTAGGTATCAAGGTAATATTAGTTTCAGTCCATGAGTTCGGAACTTTTGTCTGTATAAAAGTTTCATTAGACAGGTCCTTCAGAAAAGGAGTCACGGTATCTTGTAAAGCTACATAAAATTCTGCAGGTAGTATCTTGCTTTTGTCTTTTAATTGCTTCTATGATCTCCATCATTGATATCTTCTCATTTAACCTCTGTCGCATATTTTCTGATATTTTTGGAAGATTTGCTTTTTTTAAATAGTCCTGAATTGCTTCTTCAGAGATCTTCTCAGCCTTATAAAGTAGCTCATAAAAGGCCTTAGCAATTTTTTCGATACCATCATTATAACAGTGTATTTCACCCTTTTCATCCAGTAATTTACTTATTGATCTTTTTTCTCTT